CCGACGTGGGGACGGAGATGCGCCCAATGTGGAAAAGGTAGCCACTTTGCTTGTTGCTGCCAAAACAACCAATGTGGGTGCGCTCGTTCGTGACGACTCACCCACAGACGTAGAAAAGTCAACTGGAAATGTGCCTCGGAGCGTACCGCAAAAATTTGTCTACGCAAGGCATTTGATCCAAGGTGAAGCCGTACGATTCCAGTTAGACACAGGTGCTACTGTCAACATTATATCAAAGAATCACTGTCCCAGTGTGTGCATTCGATTCGCTCAAGGTCGCCTGCGTATGTGGAATGGTTCCAAACTTCATCCGAAGAGCTCAGCTACAAATGAAGTCGTGAACACAAAGGACGGCGCCTCACATCGACTGGAGTTTGTGAGCGTGGAGGAGGTGCTGCCGCCGATTCGTGGTATTGATTCGATTCAGTCTTTCGGTTATGTCGTTTTGATCATAATTGTTTCTTGCGTGCTTTCTGTGGAGAAACCGATATTAATAATCAGTATCCGTCCATGTTTAACCCGAATTTGGAAAATTTTGAGGGAACCGCCCACTTGTCGTTAGCTCGTTTGATACTACCGACTACGCTGGCGGCTGGGAGAGTTCCTTTTGCACTGCGTGACAGGTTCCCCGCTGAACTGAGCAAGTTTGTGAGAGACAGTGCGACTGACAATGTTGACGAGCCAACCGACTGGATTGGTCAGGCCACAATCATAACGAAGAAGATGGGCTAACTGCGCGTGTGCATTAACCCGAAACCGTTGAATGAAGCCATGCGTAGACGGTATTATGCGCTACCTACCCTAGAAGACATTCTGCCGCGCGTGGCCAAAGTTAAGTATTTCACGAAGGTAGACCTGTCTTCCGCATTCTGCCACGTGGTTCTAGATGAAGAATCCAGCTACTTACTACCTTTGCCACACCGTTCGGTCGTGATCGTCGGCTGCTTTTACCGTTTGGTTTAAAGGTTAGGAGTGGAATTTTCCAAAAGCGATTGGTGCGAGCGCTAAACTATTTAGATAGTGTGACATGCGTGACAGACCATGTTTTGATTTTTGGATCTACGGTAGAAGAACATGATGCTAATCACAACCTTTTCTTGCAGCGTTCCATGCGAAAGAATATCAAACTTATACATGCGAAACCTGAACTTCGGAAAGTCCACGAGCATGTGCTAATAACCTAAGGGATCCAAGTTGATCCAGGAAAAAGTAAGACAATTCTGGAGATGCTGCCCCTGACGACCTGAAGAGAATCCATCGTTTAAATGGTATGGTGAATTCTTTCAGCCGTTTTATGCCAAGACTCGCTGATATCATGATACCGATCAGAAGGCTAACCCACAATGGAGTACAGTGGAGTTGGGGTAAGGAAGAGGAAATAAAACTCGCAACAATTAGGCACTTTATAAGCAACGTGCCTGTATTCGATTACGATCCAGCGCAGCCTTTGAAGGTACAGTGCGGCAGTTCAGTTCAGTTCCGTCGATCAACTATGATCCGAGCACCAAAGTGCGGTGGACATGGTGGCCACGATTCACATGACGAGAATAACAATAAACAACAGCCGCAAGTTAGTGAAGTTGAATGCAAAAGAAATAGAGGCAAGAAAGAATCGCGTTGAACTAGTCAGGATAAAACGAAAATTAACAACCAGATGAAAGAAACCGAAGGCAGGAACGCCACCGACTGCAGGACTGCGCCGTCTGAAGTGGTCTCCAACCATTGGTGTGGACCATCCCGAGGTCCCCATTTACAAAAATGACACGCACTAGCTTGACCAAGTTTCTCAATGAACTTCTGTATATGCCACGTCATGGACTGACCACCTCCTGGTTTCACCCAACTTGGTGCAGCCACGGCCTAAAATGCACGCCGAGGAAGCCGGTCAGCGGACATACAGAAGACATGGCATAGCCGGCGTAAGCGAGTAGGATTCAGCAAGCATCCGAGTGAGACACCAGAAGGCTTCTTGCCCAAAACTAACCGGCGGACTTCAGCATTGCTCACTCTGTGTTCCCACAAGATGTGATCAATACTCGGCAAGCACCGGCGGTCAAACCTAGCCAGGCGTTTAATGTCTTTGCCACGGACTGCTCAGGTCTCTGATTCATAAAATAAGACCGGTATTACCGCAGCGTTATACATCCTACCCTTCACTAACAGCCGTCTCCATAGATGGTTGCTTCTCTAGTAAGCTACACGGGCCCTGCTGATACGCAAAGAAACTTCCTCAGTGATGTGGCTACTAGAGGTGGCATAACTATCAAGATAAGTGATCCGATCCACCAGTTCCATTGACTGCCCGGTGATATCTAGATCGGATAACTCGGTCCAGTTCTGCAGTCGTACTTTGCAATTGGAGGTACAAAGCACATATCGAAGCGTGAAGCGCTACATGTCAGTTTATTTAGCAGTGTTCGCATAGCCACTGCGTCGGACACACGAAGTGCTACGTCGTTCACATACCCTAGGTTTATCAGTCAGTCACTTAGCAGAACTTCCATTCTGGTAGAGTCTGAAAGAACCGAGCCACTCATGATCATTTCGACAGCAAATTGAAGAGGAAAGAAGGTATAAGACAACCCTGACGAGCCCGACTTGTAGTGGGCAACTCAAGAGATACTCTCTAGTAGACCCCTACACGGCCTCGAGCATCACGTCAAAAAGGTTTACGAATGAAAAGCAATTTATCCGGCATGCCCTTTGAGTAAAAGCAAGTCAATATAAGCTTTATGTGCCCAAATGAGGGCATTTTCATACTTTTTATTACCAACTGGACATTTAGCAGAGGATTACCATGAAAGACGCTACGTTTACAACTGGGTATAAAAATGATTAGGATGCACCATCATAGATCGATCGTGCAACGATCACAAAAGGCTGAAATACATCTTCGAGATTTGTAACCATTCAAGGCGGTGAAGCTTTCATTAAAACTTTCTTCAGAATGCGTTTAAACTGTGGATAAGCAGTGCTACAACCTGGCGCTGTCAACAGAGTCGAAGGCGGCATTCAAGTCAAGGAAAACCACCATAGGGCAAGGAGCACGGCCGGAGATACAGCGAAGACGACGCGGTTACATACTGTACGAGATGCATAGTAATATGGAAGCGCAAGGACACGCAAACAGCGAGGATGTGATTGGAGTGTCAGATCAGAGTGAACGGTTGGACAAACCGAGCTAGCCAGACAGCCAGTAGGAGACGGGTGTAACGGATTCGATTACTGGACACGGAATGATCGACATGCGTGTGAAATATTTACCTCTTGCTAAACTGAGTTAAAAGAGGAACCTCATCAACTCAGAAGTGTGGTTAGTTATGGATGCGAACGTGCAACTTATATCGTGGAGTCTGGCTTGCAAAACATGCTGTAATTTGTGCTGTGTTGACTTTGCCGAATAAACGCTTATCCCTGAAGAACTGTGTTCCCTCAACACGGGCTGTATCTTCACAGTAACTATTATTCCTTGACTTTTAGGGAAAGCAGGTAACCACTCAGCGAAGCTCTGGAAAAAGCCATGATTTAAGTACAAAATACCAGTTGCCAGGCGAAGCATGAGCTCGACTTGTTCATAGACGAAAGAGAGACATAGAATAACGTAGAAGCACCGAAAGATATAATTTTGAAATACCTTCCAACTTCATGCCGCATTAATGTCGTTTTATATTTCTCTGTCAGTTAGCCCGCCACAAATTACTGTACTTGTAATCTGTTGGCTATTTTGACGAAATCTCTTTTAGTCTGCATATATTGACTATATGAAATTAATGTTATTGGTTCGTGAATAAAAAGCAACAGGCTCTTCTAAAACTGCTTAATGGAGTACGTCTTTCCCACCTTGTGTATGGAAGGAATCAATTTTGAGCATCCTACATGGTCACTGTATATTATGTGCACACTGCCATCTAACATATGTCTTGCTGTCATTAGGACTGCAAGAAGCTACGGTCATTGAGGCATTAGCAAAGTCCCCGCATAAATGTGAAATCAGAATGAGTATGTACTTGGCAGATGGACTGATAGTAGGCTGCGGTTGATACCAGCTAATTGACTTTCTGAAGCCTTTATGGAATTTATATTTGTGTGGTTTTTCAAAATGCATTTAAGTGGGACAAGGCGATTCCTCCTTCCTCCTTGGACCCCACTGTCCCATTATATTTTGGCCGAAACAGGCGAATAACGACGATCGGTTTTGGGGCCTGGTTTATTTTTACTGTTCATTATTAGCTATGCTTTTCTTAGTTTATGGGGACGACGCTGTTTTTTTACAAAATCTAACTGAGACGTATGTTCCTTTGATAGTTCTTCGTCCTCGAAACTAAATGCTGTGTTATTACAGATTATACAGTTGGATCGCGCTAAATGTACCATTTTTATCAAACGGTAAGTGACTGACATCAAAACATATTTCCGAGATGTTTGCAAGGGCTGATGAACGGTTATTGAGCAGCCTACCCTATTGTAACTATTTACACTACAGCATAGTCATTTTGCTTCCAGCACACGCCATTCCGTTTAACTGGTCTTCTTGACACATAGCATAACACTATGTCGAGCAAGTGTAGAGTTAGGATTACGACTTATTCATCTATTCCTATTCACACCAAAGGGAAATCTACGCAACTCAAGAACAATGAGATAGGGGATCATAAGCACAACCGACACAACAGCAGTTTGAACCGGTCTCTAAATTACCTCTTCTTTCCCCTCCTGTTTCGGACATTAGCTTTTTTCTCTCATATCAAACTCGCTAGTAGCCCCGATGCAATCACAATCATTAGATAAAAAGGCGATTAAACCTATTGTAATGCTCTATTGGGCTGGTATCGCACTTGTCCTCACGTCAACACATAACATTGAAACTCTCCCGTTTCTTTTCAGTGGGCATGCATGCAGGACTTCGGATGGGACAAAGTCAGGATAATATAGCACACACAAAATAAGCAACACCCAGCCGTCCTAGTTCACATCAAAGTTGGGATGAAAAATATACTTACATCTAAGTTTATCCGTAGGCTTTGAGTTTGTTAAGGTTGACAATGCAATTTTCAGGCTATTAACTCCGATTCTTCCTGTGGCGGCGACGTCTAGTGCGTAGACGAGCCAGCTGAATAAAATCTCGTTCGCTGAATTTATCACACCGGGTTCCAATGTTTCAGCACAGATTTTCAGTGCGGTCGTTGCAACATTTGTTGGTTTTGCCGAGGAGAGTTGCGTGTACAGGCGATTCAACAAACAGGCTGTACTGGCGTAATCCAATGTGGCAGCCGGATCAGTCACATGGTGGAGTCCGAATTCTCGAAATATCTCTACCACTCTGCACACGTCTACGAAACAAACTAAAAATGAAAAGGCGGAAAGCGTTTATTTTTTGTATCTTCAACGAGGTTAAGGTTTTAAACCAAATCACGAATGCATTAAATAATAAGGACATGCTTCAGCGGTCAGCTGAACTAGCACATTGCTGTATCCGGTTTCGGATCCTAAAACAAAAGTTAGCTGAGCTACATGCAAAACTTGCAACAGGGCTAATCCATTCAGTGATATGGATCTTTTCAAATTCGGCAGCGATTTACTCTACAGCGTCATGGATGGCTGTATGGTGCAGTTGCAATCAGCTATTCGAGTTTTCACTTTAAGCTGTATGTGCGTCATGAATAGTTGTTCAATCAGCAATTCAGGAGAGTTAAGAAATACTTTTCTAAACGTATCTTTTAATAAGCAGCTTATTGTTTCATTAAAATTCGAAGCGTGCTTACTGAGGAATTATTTCGGTGGTAGCGGTGAATGACGCCGTTTAATCTTATCAGGAACTCAATCCTCGGTAATATGAACAAATCACCTTGTTAAAGGACTTTACTTCTGCAAATCTACAGTTTACAGTGTACATACAGTGTTGCGACGTCGTAAATGTGATGGGTATGCAACAAACCAGCAACTTCATGTGATTTCCAAAGCTTTTGTGTGCCAAATAGACAAGTAGGTAAACAAGGTTAAAACGGCCGTCTAGTGCTTTTGCAAAAATGTGAAGGACTCTGATTTATAAACTTTCGTGATAAAATTGCAATTAATTACATCAAAATGTCCCTACTCACGAGTTATATACGTAGCGTGTCGGTTGAGCCGTTGTAATCGACGAACCGGTAATGGAAAACAAGGTATCAGTATATTACCTGTGAATAAAGGACAGAAATTATGAACGACATTCTGATTAACCAAGGCCTTATCCCAATTCGGATTGTAGGGAAATTGTTAAAGTCCACCAGAACTCGCTCTAAAATTCTTGATTACGGGCGCTAGTCGATTTGCGTATGCACCGTGGACCAGACCCCAATTTTACCTGCTAATATTAAACAACCAATAACGAAAGATGGTGAGTCATTTTCATTTTTGCTTACAGTTTTATCAATTCCCGGTTTTATGATTCTAGTAACACATGTAAACTTGTCTTACCACGCATGGTTATACTGTATTGGGTTAAGCGTCTATATCACTAGTAATGATTGTAAACATTCGCATTTCGACCATTAGAACGATAATGAAGGTTTTCTCCACGAGGACTTTTGACATCAAATGACCTGATGTATACTAAAACGACACAGGGTTATTTTCCTATCCATTTCAGATTTAGACAACACCCATACGGGTAGTTGCTGTAGTCCTTGAGAGTGGCTGCTTATTAAGCTGGTCAAAATGGGTAGGTAAATCCGCGTACCAATAACTCCAGCTTACTGGGGTCAGCGCATGAAACCAGTTAGCACAGGAATTCGGAGCTTCAAGCAGCGAGAGTGCAACCAGGCATTTGTTTTGTTAGTTTTGTGTATCGTGCACACGCCGAAATCGAACGACACTAATTCCCCAACCTGACATATAGTTCTTAAACTGGAAACCGATTACGAGATATGTGGCAATTGTACGGAAGCTTATGTACTATTCGCGTGAAGTATTGGAGTTAGATGTGAATTCTACGCAACTAAGAATAAGCATTGGCGATGGAATAATGTTCGAAAATAGTGTTATACCTCTGGTCATTCGCAGAGGGAAGTCTTTGCTCGAGGTTTCCAACATGTGAGCTTCTACTAATTAGCCAGAAGCACAGTGTAATAGAAATAATTTTTAAGTAGGACATGAGGCATTACTGTCAAGAGAGGATTTAATAGGTATAGAGTAACATACGTATGCTTATTGACTGTCCCTTTCATTAAATTTTTGAGCACGGTAAACTGTGCGTTTTTTAAAACAGGTTCAAACCCAATGGACATTGCGCTGTCCATGGGTAAGTAGGTTCATGCAGGTGACGTTAAACTAGTAGATAGCGTACTCTTATCGTCTCAGGTACCAATTAACTCACGTCCTTCATGCACTCAGAGCCGAAACCATAGTTCGTACACTATTCCTTATTTAGATTTGGTTCAGAAATCAATGAACAACCGGCGTTTCCAGATGTGTTCAGGGTTAACGACGTTGAGATCAGTTGATCATTTTGGCGTGAGTGCATTAGGAACATGCGCTCTATGAGCACAACTGGAACACGGTTTTGCCAATTCATATTGACCAAATGATGGGCAATTTCGATGTGCGGTAGATGTGCACTAGCCTCCTAATAAAAACGAATTGTCGTAAAGCTTCTGATACGACACATCGTTGCTTCTTACTCTCCAAATCCCAGTGAAAAATATTCCGCTCTCACTGTCAAGCTAACTTTGACTTTTGGAACTAACTGATTTCTAATATTCCAGCCAGTTGGTGTAGGTGATTGCCTGGGTTCATTGACCAGTACCTTAGTGGACCCCTGAGTGGTCGTGACGGATTAATTAGTATTTTTCAATACGGTCAATGAACTGCTTAGCTTAAGCTGACAAACATCGCAAGGTTATTTACAGTAAAAAGCAAGCAAAACGATCTACCCTTATTCACCTGCATGGTTCGCTCTCGACAAGATTAGACTGATTTGCGTACCTCCCTTATCCTCTGAGAGACGTTAGGTGTTATTAGTCGGTTGCGGGATCTGAGCCATGGGTTATGCATGCCAACCCTTAGGCTTCAGTGACTTGTGTTGTGTGCGCCACTATGATCCGGATGGGAGAAAAGTAAGGAGACCATCTGATACCTTGGTCAAGCGGAATGAAGGCACTCACGTCGAAGTTGGCCTCGACTGAGGACTCTCGACTCCCTGGTTGGGGTCCGGAAGACAATGAGCACGTTTCTCTGGATATACTTGTTTATAAGATGAACTGTCGACCCCCATTAACACTCGTGTTGTGCGTTTATTTGTACATTCCCTTCGCGCGTTAGATAATTATTCGTTTGGGTTTGCTTTTGTTTTTGGTCTTTCCCTGTTCAGTCTGTTATACTGCCACCCAAGTGGTTTGCGTTGCGTTAGAATGGTTCAGGTATTTTCCAACTCCAGCTAACGTTCATAATGATGCTGTTGATGGGTACTACTACTTTTCAGATCTACTCGTAACAGATAGCTGCATGACTGTCCGTTAGACCAACCTAGTTGGAGGTTGGGGAGAACTTGATTTCCCTCTTCTTTTCAGATTTGGCCATGGGAGGCTGCACGTTGTGAGTTAGTAGCTTGGATCGATTGGTCACTATGGAGTGACGTAATCTCTGTTGGTAGAAAGACATTATCTGAGCATGCATCTGCTATGGACCGCTTTAAACCAGTCAGTTCCCATTCAAAAAGTGTAATTCCACCAAATGATCTTTGGACGTTGTTGCAGGCGGATACTACTACTACTACTACTACTACTACTACTACTACAGGCGGATACTACGATCTATGTAAGTTATTCTGATTTTTACCTGGCTGCGTGCAATAGACTTAAGACAAACTCAACTGGAACTTGCAGTCAAACCTCCGAGTGGTCCTACGCTCCTATACCTTGTGGGACCGCTTGTTTAGCCAAAAGCTCCGAGTTGAATCCCTCGAGTGAACCGCCATTTATAACACCGCATCGGTGGTCCGACTATTGAATCAAGGGCTAGAGATAGGGTATCTCGAAAAGTACCTCCTCTGGGAACATGCGGTCAGAGAGCATTATTTCGTCGTATAATGCCGACGCCAATAATATTTTTCTTTTCTACTTCCCTTCCTTTTTATGAATAACTTTCTTGTGTTCAAAATCAAGAGATCGCTGTTGATTTCATAATCATTTAGGCATAATCATTTGAGGCACACGGCGTCATCCTACGCTGAATGTTTAATCTCTATGGTGCTAAAATAGATGGAAAAAACTCACCCGTTATAATATTGCACCTTTTCGAAGTTAATGTTTGTTACGCCCCTGAAGCAGGTGTGCAAGAAAGCAGTATCCACTTTTATCTTCGCCTATCAGACTGGTGTTTTAATGTCTGGGTTTACCCACTTCGTGTCACCAACGACATCAAATCCACGGTCTGCAGTGATTACGTTATCGGAGTTATTTTAAGCAAAATTGAAGTAGCTAAGCTTCAATTTTACCTCATTTGAGAGCCAGTTGGTTGTTATTCAGCTTAGAAGCTGCACTGGAGTTACTAAACACTGCAAGGTGACTCCTGTCGATTAGGGTCTTGGCCGTACCAACCGCCTCCAGGAGGTTTACAAAATGTAATCGGTCAGCGACTGTCTCCACTAGTTCGAGTAGCCACACGTACGTGCACTGTGATAATCGTTGTCAGCATGAACGCCAATATCGATCGCCCATGAGGATCCCTTTAAAACACTTATCAGACTACTAGTCCCATTTCCTGTATTCGCTGGAAATGGTCCAGGAAAAAGGACAAAGCGGGACCTGCCTGTTTATACCTCGACGAGGCAATATTCGCTTTTATAGACTACACTGAGGATTGTCTTTCGCTTAGATTGGATCCAAGGAAGGGGAGTCCTACCAGACCTGCCTCAACACATAGGAAAACGACTCAAAAAGCGCCCATTTGATGACATTGAGTTTTACTGGAACTCAGACATTAGATGTAGCAACCTTGATTTTGTGTGGTGGGTGGAGAGAAGCCAGTATGTTTACTGGCCGCTTACACCGGTTCATCGGATACACCAGGTGTAGCTTCTAAGGACACCATGAACTAGCGACATTAAACCAGCCAGATCCAATTTTAGAGTTGATGCAGTCATCGGAGGGAGAGACGGCTCTCCAACTCCAACCAAAGCTGACACCAAGACCAGATGGGCATATGGTTGTTACATTATCGATCTATAGCCTTGAATTCCGGTACGATTTACGAATCACATACATTTGCTCGAAATTCCACTGCCGTATCTCTCGCTTATGCTCAATGCGTGCATGTGTGGAACAGGAAAATCTGCACACCCAGGAAAATACATGCTGGTAAGGCA